GAGGTGACCACATGGCGTGGCAGACCTCTCCTGACCCGCCCGCTGCTCCCCTCAGCAGTGTACTTCGTCAATCTGCCTGTTCTGCTCCCCGCTCTGGCTCTGGTGAATCCTCTCACCCTCTGCATCTCTGGCCTATACCCCAATTCTGGCCTGTATGAATAAATAAATCTTTAAAAAAAAAAACTTAAACAAAAAAATATTGTCATGTGGTTTGATTTGAAATATACTGATAGGCTTTAAGTTAATCCATTAGAAAGAAGTCTTTTTTTGTTCTTGTGGGTCCTTAAAGCTGTAGAAAATGTCCTGCTTTCTGAGGCTAAAGAGAAACGTCCCCAACTAGTGCACTGAAGAACCTCCCCACCCCCAGTTCTATAATTCCTTTTATTCCCCTGTCATTTCTTACTGACCTGCTTCTGGAGAGTCACCACAGCTACTAGAGTAGCTATGTGTAATTGTGGCTTCTAAAACACAGACCATCGAAATGGAAAGCAGAACACTCTGAGATTTAGAGGAGAACAGTGGTTTTTCTAACCCTTTGATTAGCCCTGTTCTGTAAGTAGGGCCTGCAGTGCTAATTGTTCATAATTTCCACTTTAATGTAAATGATGATTAAAATTACCTATGCTTTAAAAAAAAAAATCAAACATGGTGTTCAAATTCACTTGTTCTTATATAATTTTCAGCCTCGTAAAGTAAGGTGGTGATTTCAGTTCTGTCCTAGAGTCCTTGACATGTTAAATTGTTCTTCGGGGAAAACATGGAAGTTACATGGGTTGCTGTCTTACAAGAAGCTTTAGGATCCTATGGAGAGGGCTGTGAAAGGTAATGCTGCTGGTATCACTTCGACCATATTCTGAAGACAGGTGACTTCTGAAAAGAAATTTGCTGTATTTGAGAGTTACACTTGTAACAGGTATTCAAATTAACTTCAGCAGTTCTCCAGCCCACCTGTGACTATGCAAGTGCCTTTCTTTTACTCCTTTTCCTAATAAACCTGTCCCTTTAAAATGTAAAAATAAAATATAAATAACTTAAGTATTTTCGTAGTTGAATTACGTACCTGAATTCAAGTATCTTAAGAATGAGAATCCTGTAACCCACTAAATAGTCCCTTTGTTTTGAGCGAAGTTATTTTGTTTAGTCTTTTCCATATTGATTGATTGGGCTGAGCTGCCTGAGCTCTATACGGGCAGCGGAGATTAGTTTATTTTTACTAATGGGTTTTTTTTCTGGTAAGAATATTCAGAAATCGTCTTACTGTGCCACGTTTCATGGGAGTCTGGAATGTCATTCAGGATGTGACAGAAGTTTAAGCAGTGACACTTGTCTGTTTTTACTCACTATTTTATCCCCAGGACCTTGTGCTCATCACACAGTAAATACTTTGTTACTTGGTAATGGATGAATATCCAATATAAGCTCTGTTACTTTCTTTCTCTATATTCCCAGCTAATGTTTTATCAACAGCATGTCTTCTATGTATTTATACAGCTTTTGCTGCATGGCTTCTGCTTACTCACAGCTCTCTATCTTTCCTTTTCCATACGGCTACATTGTGTGTATTGTATAGCTCATTCAAACTCCCAATGAAAGAAGTTTTGCTGGGATAGGCAGATCACTGTCTAAGGCAGAGCACAGCCATTGAACACCCATGGGTGCCTTTGCTCAGGGGCTGGGCTGGCCCAGCTACTTGTGGTCACTAGCATTGACACAGGCTATAACACGTGGGCTTGCTTATAATAGAACTGTGGTTGTGACAGACCCCTGGACTACTGGCCCCAAAATGACAGATTGAGTTTGGTTGGTATTTGGCCATGTTCCAGTTGGATTTAGCTATGGAAGACCACCATATCAGGTTAGTTTTTTTGTTCAGTTCCCAGCAGTTGCCACAGAGCTTTGTACCTAGCGGACTCTAGAAAAAAAGTACTGGTTGAATGATAAAAGAATTTTTTTGATCTTAGGTGTATCAGGAACATGGCGAGAAAGGTTAAAGAGTAAAGTAAATGTACTTGGCATTTATGTTCTTTCCTGTAATTGAATCATTCTAGTCAGGCAAACCATGTGCGGTTTCTAACTAGAGGAAGCTCATATCCAGAAAGACTCCATCCTACTTCACTATCACATTATGCTGGAAAGCAGTAATGGAGAACTTCTAATCACTAATTTTTATCATTAAACCGGGAGAGTTCTTTTAAAGCCACCAATCTGAAAACTCATTTTTCCATGGTATTGTCACCATCCTAAAAGTCGGTGTAACTAACAATTGAGAAGAAATAATGTTCCTAAAAACATCATGGAATTAGGATTTGTTGAAAGAGATGCATTATGTTCACGTGTTTAAATTGAGCTGGATGTCCAATTTGGAATTTTTTTCCAGATTAAAAAACAAAGGCATCCCCATGGATAATGGTCTTTGATATCTAATTTCCTCTTTCCATCATCACATACTAAACCACCATCACACCACCATAGATGAAGGTGGGAACTTCCTAGTTGCAAGCTAGTTTCTACTCAAAATAAGAATTAGAACTAATGGAGAATTTTTGCCCATATTTTGAAGGTTAAAGATGGTTGAGCTGAAGTTCTTGATGGCTCCATACATGGGTCTCACCATTTGATTGGTGGAGGTATCAGGAACCACCATACTACTGGAGCCTCAGTAAAAGCTTATTGACTTGAATGAGTAACATGATTTAATAAGGCTTTTATTGCAGGTTGTTTAGCATTATTTGTTTTCCTTATCATAGATATTGCCCTGAAACTGGGAAAATTATATTTGCAACTCCAGCTTAGAGAATGAAAATGGAGCTAATATAAAAGATTTATTCAGATTTATG